ATGTTAAAATATAAAAGGTACTTTGATTATACCATACATGCTACAACCACATTCGAAATTATTTAAACCTTTCTGTCCTGTTTAACGGTTTCCATTTCCATGAAACTTTTAAAAAATTGATAGGCGACAATAGAAATATTTTCTACAAATGCTTCAGTTTTTCATGGCAGGATCAAAATACTGACGTGAGGAAATTATTGAGCAATTGAATTGAAACATGCAGTCTTTAGTTTTATTTCCTGGGTGCAGTTTAAAGCTGAACTCCATTGCCTTGTTTATGCACTTTCTGTTGTGTGCTCCTCCCTATTACTCTATCACATGTATTGCAAAAAATTAACGGGTCTTAGTAATTAGAAACCCTTATTATAAAACACACATTACACATAGTCCATAAAAAGCAGTATGATATCCTTATTCAACATGCAGAAAGTTTAGAAAAGAACAAGTTTGAAAGAGCAGTATTCTTCTCCACTGCAGTGCATTTACCTTCATCCTTGGCTGGAATGTCCTTGAATGCAATTGCTGTGTATGCATCTTCACAAATACCACACTGCCGTTGTGATGTGTGGGGTCCCTTGTGCGTACCTGTTCCTTTAAGGGAGCTTTCCTCCTGACAAACCTGCACCCAATGTAATCTTCTGCCACATGTGCTCCAAGATGGAGACTCTCATAGTTTAGAGTTAGGACCGCACTATATGGAGGTGCCTTGACGTGGCTGTGCAGCTTTCACATTTTCTGCAGAAGACATGTATCCAAACCTCTGCTTTTAACCTAGTGGTGAGACAGGTTTTTTTCATGCTGGCTGGTAAATGTGCCTGGAAACTTTTTTCTGTTTTACCAGATACTATGACCCCTCAAACAAAGAAGCCATGTAGCACTTAGGCAGTAAATATATCAGGGTATCTGCAAGACCTGCCAGAGATCTCCATTACTTCATCATTTTTCTCTACTTTGTTTGACACTCTACCAGCTTGGAGGCACATCCAAAATCAACAGCTCCCACCACAGATAAACGAAAGCACTCAGAACATGTGGATCAATAATGTTTATTGAAGATAAAAAAATTAAAAAACGTCACCTTCCTAGTATGAATCAATAAGCATGTATAATGTCTGATGTCACTGTTGCAAGCTCCACCCAATGCAGAGTGTATTGTATATACCATTGGGTATACATACCATTTACAGGGGCAGCGTGGATTATTTTATAGTTATTATTACCTTCTCACATTTACCCCTAGTGGAGATTTGAAGCAGCCATGCTTCCACACAACATGCAGGCATTGTCCACCAATAATGTGCACCTGATACTGGAGTGAATGCAAATAGACAAAAAGAGGCTAAAAAAGGCTGAAGTAGAACAGCAGCACTGAGATAAAAGGTGGGGGGGAAAATAAAA